TCTATGTCGATAGCATTTCAATCATATGTAGTTGATCACTCAAACAATGACTTTATCAATTTGACTTGTAGATGGAACTGTCTTGTTTGATCGTTTGCTCGGTCAAGATTGTCTCTTCACCGGAGGTTAAGTGGAGCAGCTCTTTACCCCATGAGTTATCATGGCTTATACATAACACATGTAGGTAATGGGTTGTATTAATGTTTACAGCAAAATTCAAAGTAGTCTGTATGAATGTATGTCAAAACGAAAAAAAAACAAAACCAAACACAAAAACAAAAGAAAGTGTAAAAATAGAAATAATACCAAATATGGTAATCAACTGATTTATGGCGACCATAAAAGAATTTCTAAACCGAGTGATTCATGTATCACGTTTCATGCCTGACCCTTTTACAAAATAATCTGCATTCTTCTATTACAAGAAGCTGTTAAATCGTTTGATCCCTGTGACCTTAAACATCTTCTTTCTTTAGATATTCTGATACATGTCACCTCAGCTATGATTTAACATAACCTTTGGCCAGATGGATGACGGAGGATGTAACATAACCTTTGGCCAGATGGATGACCGAGGAGCTACAATGTAACATGACCTTTGTCCAGATGGATGACCGAGGATGTAACACGACCTTTGACCAGATGGATGACCGAGGATGTAACATGACCTTTGACCAGATGGATGACCAAGGAGCTACAATGTAACATGATCTTTGGCCAGATGGATGACCGAGGATGTAACATGACCTTTGACCAGATGGATGACCAAGGAGCTACAATGTAACATGACCTTTGACCAGATGGATGACCGAGGAGCTACAATGTAACATGACCTTTGGCCAGATGGATGACCGAGGAGCTACAATGTAACATGACCGTTGACCAGATGGATGATCGAGGATGTAACATGACCTTTGACTTGATGAGCTGTATATTAATAATGGTCTCAAAAATCTGTACAAAAACATCAATAATATAACAGATGTTCAAACATCTTCAAAGATCAACAAGGTATACCATTTAAAGTGCATTTTAGACAATACTATCAGACAAACAGATGAGATTCCTAACACAGAATAAAACAGGATATCAAAAACTTTCTTCTGTAATATATAGTGTCTAACTGATTTCTATTTAAAACATACAGACAAAAACAATATCTATATTAGATGTTTACACCAGGAATGAGCATCACCTAAACACATATATGGAATACATATTATAATGAAAATATTGTCACATAAACAATTAACAGCAGTGAAACATTATTCAGATCAATGAACCAATCTCTGATAGGGACTGTGAAGCATTCATTACAGATCAAAAACACAATTAAATCTACTAAATCTAACAATTAGAAAATTTGTAAATAAAATTATAAAATCAAAACAGTTCTAAAACATTTTTCAAATTGGTAATTGGATGTCCAGACGAAAACTATTGTCTAATCAAATCCTATTCTGTCAAAAACTGTTTTGTGAGATAGACATAAGGACCAACCATGTAAAGAATTAGTTCAGTGCCTTACTTTGACACAACACTAACTACCACTTGGTATGATCTACAAACATAGACTTGGTCAGAGAAATCATAAGTTGGTGACATCACAATAGTTGATAACTGTTTACAATCAGAAGTCAGGACGTAAGACAACAAACTATCACACAGGTAAATGACTGATGACAAAAAACACAAATACCTGACTGATGACAAACAATCACACAAATACCTGACTGATGACAAACAATCACACAAATACCTGACTGATGACAAACAATCACACAAATACCTGACTGATGACAAACAATCACACAAATACCTGACTGATGACAAACAATCACACAAATACCTGACTGATGACAAACTATCACACAAACACCTGACTGATGACAAACAAACACACAAATACCTGACTGATGACAAACAATCACACAAATACCTGACTGATGACAAACAATCACACAAATACCTGACTGATGACAAACAATCACAAACAATCACACAAACACCTGACTGATGACAAACAATCACACAAACACCTGACTGATGACAAACAATCACATAAGTAAATAATTGACAACATGGTTAACTTTGGATCAGATCAGACCAGGCTTAATATCAGAGATCATGTCTGTTAAATGGGGTAGGGGGGCGGGGATTATTTGGTTTATTAGAGATCAGATTTGTTGATGAAGGGAGGGGCATTAGGCTTATTATCAGAGAACAGATCTGTTCACTGGGGTGGGATAGGGGGAAGGGGGGTTTAAGGTTAATTAGAGATCAGATCTGTTCACTGGGGTGGGATAGGGGGAAGGGGGGTTTTAGGTTAATTAGAGATCAGATCTGTTCACTGGGGTGGGATGGGGGGAAGAGGGGTTTAAGGTTAATTAGAGATCAGATTTGTTCATGGAGGGAGGGGATATTTCATTTATTATGAGTGATCAGGTATATTCACCAAGGGAAGGGGTGTTAGGCTTAATATCAATGGTCAGGTCTGTGGATGGAACGGGCATTAGGCTATTCTAAGAGATCACATCTGTTCACTATGGTCAGGAATAGTACATTGTGTTTATACCCCATTGCTCCTGTTTCACTAACTCCCATAACCCAAACTTCCCCATACCCCAAATCTCCTTAACCATCAAACATCCCCTACCCCTAACCTCCCATACCCCTAACCTCCCCTACACCAAACCTCCCCTACCCCTAACCTCCCCTACACCAAACCTCCCCTACCCCTAACCTCCCCTACACCAAACCTCCCATACCCCTAACCTCCCCTACACCAAACCTCCCATACCCCTAACCTCCCCTACACCAAACCTCCCCTACACCAAACCTCCCATACCCCTAACCTCCCCTACACCAAACCTCCCATACCCCTAACCTCCCCTACACCAAACCTCCCATACCCCTAACCTCCCCTACACCAAACCTCCCCTACACCAAACCTCCCATACCCCTAACCTCCCCTACACCAAACCTCTCCTACACCAAACCTCCCTTACACCAAACATCCCCTACCCCTAACCTCCCCTACACCAAACCTCCCATACCCCTAACCTCCCCTACACCAAACCTCCCCTACACCAAACCTCCCTTACACCAAACATCCCCTACCCCTAACCTCCCCTACACCAAACCTCCCATACCCCTAACCTCCCCTACCCCTAACCTCCCCTACACCAAACCTCCCCTACACCAAACCTCCCAGTACTCCCGTAACCTCCCCTACACCAAACCTCCCCTACACCAAACCTCCCTTACACCAAACATCCCCTACCCCTAACCTCCCCTACACCAAACCTCCCATACCCCTTATCTCCCCTACCCCTAACCTCCCCTACACCAACACTCCCATACCCCTTATCTCCCTTACCCCTAACCTCCCCTACACCAAACCTCCCTTACACCAAACATCCCCTACCCCTAACCTCCCCTACACCAAACCTCCCATACCCCTAACCTCCCCTACACCAAACCTCCCCTACACCAAACCTCCCTTACACCAAACATCCCCTACCCCTAACCTCCCCTACACCAAACCTCCCTTACACCAAACATCCCCTACTCCTAACCTCCCCTACACCAAACCTCCGTTACACCAAACATCCCCTACCTCTAACCTCCCCTACACCAAACCTCCCATACCCCTTATCTCCCCTACCCCTAACCTCCCCTACACCAAACCTCCCAGACACCTTATCTCCCCTACCCCTAACCTCCCCTACACCAAACCTCCCATACCCCTTATCTCCCCTACCCCTAACCTCCCCTACACCAAACCTCCCATACCCCTTATCTCCTCTACCCCTAACCTCCCCTACACCAAACCTCCCATACCCCTTATCTCCCCTACCCCTAACCTCCCCTACACCAAACCTCCCATACCCCTTATCTCCCCTACCCCTAACCTCCCCTACACCAAACCTCCCATACCCCTTATCTCCCCTACCCCTAACCTCCCCTACACCAAACCTCCCATACCCCTTATCTCCTCTACCCCTAACCTCCCCTTACTAAACCTCCCATACCCCTTATCTCCCCTACCCCTAACCTCCCCTACACCAAACCTCCCATACCCCTTATCTCCCCTACCCCTAACCTCCCCTACACCAAACCTCCCATACCCCTTATCTCCCTTACCCCTAACCTCCCCTACACCAAACCTCCCATACCCTTTATCTCCCCTACCCCTAACCTCCCCTACACCAAACCTCCCATACCCCTTATCTCCCCTACCCCTAACCTCCCCTACACCAACACTCCCATACCCCTTATCTCCCTTACCCCTAACCTCCCCTACACCAAACCTCCCTTACACCAAACATCCCCTACCCCTAACCTCCCCTACACCAAACCTCCCATACCCCTAACCTCCCCTACACCAAACCTCCCCTACACCAAACCTCCCTTACACCAAACATCCCCTACCCCTAACCTCCCCTACACCAAACCTCCCTTACACCAAACATCCCCTACCCCTAACCTCCCCTACACCAAACCTCCCTTACACCAAACATCCCCTACCTCTAACCTCCCCTACACCAAACCTCCCATACCCCTTATCTCCCCTACCTCTAACCTCCCCTACACCAAACCTCCCATACCCCTTATCTCCCCTACCCCTAACCTCCCCTACACCAAACCTCCCATACCCCTTATCTCCCCTACCCCTAACCTCCCCTACACCAAACCTCCCATACCCCTTATCTCCTCTACCCCTAACCTCCCCTACACCAAACCTCCCATACCCCTTATCTCCCCTACCCCTAACCTCCCCTACACCAAACCTCCCATACCCTTTTTCTCCCCTACCCCTAACCTCCCCTACACCAAACCTCCCATACCCCTTATCTCCCCTACCCCTAACCTCCCCTACACCAAACCTCCCATACCCCTTATCTCCTCTACCCCTAACCTCCCCTACACCAAACCTCCCATACCCTTTATCTCCCCTACCCCTAACCTCCCCTACACCAAACCTCCCATACCCCTTATCTCCCTTACCCCTAACCTCCCTTACCCCTAACTTCCTCAAACACAAACCTCTTACACTGATATAAAGATAATCAACAGTAAACCTAGTATCACAGTCTTTAAAAACTACACCAAATAAGTTAGTTAATACTCACAAAAAAAAAATTGAACCAATCAAAGTATTCATCATAACATCAAAGAAATTTCATCGTGAGGACTTTCTTGGAATTTCATCAGTTAAAGATTAGTTAGAACAGTTCTTGTAATGAATATGAACACCTTGTGATGCCACGTCAGCTACAGAAAACTGGAAAACTGCAAAACCATGACAGGCAGCACCTGTAGGAGAAAAGATCAAATACAATGACAGGCAGTTCCTGTAGGAGAAAAGATCAAATACAATGACAGGCAGTTCCTGTAGGAGAAAAGATCAAATACAATGACAGGCAGTTCCTGTAGGAGAATAGATCAAATACAATGACAGGCAGTTTCTGTAGGAAAAATAGCAAATACAATGACAGGCAGTTCCTGTAGGAGAATAGATCAAATACAATGACAGGCAGTTCCTGTAGGAGAATAGATCAAATACAATGACAGGCAGTTCCTGTAGGAGAAAAGATCAAATACAATGACAGGCAGGTCCTGTAGGAGAAAAGATCAAATACAATGACAGGCAGTTCCTGTAGGAGAATAGATCAAATACAATGACAGGCAGTTCCTGTAGGAGAAAAGATCAAATACAATGACAGGCAGCTCCTGTAGGAGAGAAGATCAAATACAATGACAGGCAGTTCCTGTAGGAGAAAAGATCAAATACAATGACAGGCAGCTCCTGTAGGAGAGAAGATCAAATACAATGACAGGCAGTTCCTGTAGGAGAAAATATCAAATACAATGACAGGCAGGTCCTGTAGGAGAAAAGATCAAATACAATGACAGGCAGCTCCTGTAGGAAAAATATCAAGTACCATGAATGGCAGGTCCTGTAGGAGAAAATATCAAATACAATGACAGGCAGGTCCTGTAGGAGAAAAGATCAAGTACCATGAATGGCAGGTCCTGTAGGAGAAAATATCAAGTACAATGACAGGCAGTTCCTGTAGCAGAAAAGATCAAATACAATGACAGGCAGCTCCTGTAGGAGAGAAGATCAAATACAATGACAGGTAGGTCCTGTAGGAGAAAAGATCAAATACAATGACAGGCAGCTCCTGTAGGAAAAATATCAAGTACCATGAATGGCAGGTCCTGTAGGAGAAAATATCAAGTACAATGACAGGCAGTTCCTGTAGGAGAAAATATCAAGTACAATGACAGGCAGTTCCTGTAGGAGAATAGATCAAATACAATGACAGGCAGTTCCTGTAGGAAAAATATCAAATACAATGACAGGCAGTTTCTGTAGGAGAAAAGATCAAATACAATGACAGGCAGCTCCTGTAGGAGAGAAGATCAAATACAATGACAGGCAGGTCCTGTAGGAGAAAAGATCAAATACAATGACAGGCAGTTCCTGTAGGAGAGAAGATCAAATACAATGACAGGCAGGTCCTGTAGGAGAAAAGATCAAATACAATGACAGGCAGTTCCTGTAGGGAAAATATCAAGTACAATAACATACAGATCCTATAGATAAAATGATCTTATTACAAGGGTGATTAATACCAAATCAACTTATGACGAGAGGTGGGGTACATCTGTAGGTGGATGTACGATGAACAAAAATTATATGTTATTATTATAAAACTACATATAAGTCAATAATTTCAACTCTCATTTATAACTGAGGAATTATGGCTACATACACAGGAACATTTTGTTTTCTGAATCGTCATCTCCTGATAGAACTCATCAACCAAAAAAATTGTCTTTGAGAGAAACCAAACACCCACTCACCAACGATTCCATCACTATTGACTGTAATGACAGCACCTCTAAATGTAGGGTAAAACTCCTTGATAGGAATAAGAACTTTCTCTGCAGCAGTGTTGGGGTCTACACCCATCGACATCAGGTTAACAGCATTGAATCTGTCACAAACAGAAAAAATTAGTGATAAAGTTCTGTATTACTGAACAGGTCAACCTGAATAGTAATTCAATCACTGTCCCCAGAACTTACCAGTGTAGAAATCTCATCATAACATCGCCGTCCCCAGAACTTACCAGGGTAGAAATCTCATCATAACATCACTGTCCCCAGAACTTACCAGGGTAGAAATCTCATCATAACATCACTGTCCCCAGAACTTACCAGGGTAGAAATCTCATCATAACATCACCGTCCCCAGAACTTACCAGGGTAGAAATACCATCATAACATCGCAGTCCCCAGAACTTACCAGGGTAGAAATCTCATCATAACATCGCCGTCCCCAGAACTAACCAGGGTAGAAATCTCATCATAACATCACCGTCCCCAGAACTTACCAGGGTAGAAATCTCATCATAACATCACTGTCCCCAGAACTTACCAGGGTAGAAATCTCATCATAACATCACTGTCCCCAGAACTTACCAGGGTAGAAATCTCATCATAACATCACTGTCCCCAGAACTTACCAGGGTAGAAATCGTACCATAGCATCACCGTCCCCAGAACTTACCAGGGTAGAAATACCATCATAACATCACTGTCCCCAGAACTTACCAGGGTAGAAATATTATAACATCACTGTCCCCAGAACTTACCAGGGTAGAAACACCATCATAACATCACTGTCCCCAGAACTTACCAGGGTAGAAATACCATCATAACATCACCGTCCCTAGAACTTACCAGGGTAGAAATACCATCATAACATCACCGTCCCCAGAACTTACGCAGGTAGAAATTTCATCATAACATCACCGTCCCCAGAACTTACCAGCGTAGAAATCTTATCATAACATCACCGTCTCCAAAACTTACCAGGGTAGAAATCTCATCATAACATCACCGTCCCCAGAACTTACCAGGGTAGAAATCTCATCATAACATCACCGTCCCCAGAACTTACCAGGGTAGAAATCTTATCATAACATCACCGTCCCCAGAACTTACCAGGGTAGAAATCTCATCATAACATCACCGTCCCCAGAACTTACCAGGGTAGAAATCGTACCATAACATCACCGTCCCCAGAACTTACCAGGGTAGAAATCTCATCATAACATCGCCGTCCCCAGAACTTACCAGGGTAGAAATCTCATCATAACATCACTGTCCCCAGAACTTACCAGGGTAGAAATCTCATCATAACATCACTGTCCCCAGAACTTACCAGGGTAGAAATCTCATCATAACATCACCGTCCCCAGAACTTACCAGGGTAGAAATGCCATCATAGCATCACCGTCCCCAGAACTTACCAGGGTAGAAATCTCATCATAACATCACTGTCCCCAGAACTTACCAGGGTAGAAATCTCATCATAACATCACTGTCCCCAGAACTTACCAGGGTAGAAATCGTACCATAGCATCACCGTCCCCAGAACTTACCAGGGTAGAAATACCATCATAACATCACTGTCCCCAGAACTTACCAGGGTAGAAATATTATAACATCACTGTCCCCAGAACTTACCAGGGTAGAAACACCATCATAACATCACTGTCCCCAGAACTTACCAGGGTAGAAATACCATCATAACATCACCGTCCCTAGAACTTACCAGGGTAGAAATACCATCATAACATCACCGTCCCCAGAACTTACGCAGGTAGAAATTTCATCATAACATCACCGTCCCCAGAACTTACCAGCGTAGAAATCTTATCATAACATCACCGTCTCCAAAACTTACCAGGGTAGAAATCTCATCATAACATCACCGTCCCCAGAACTTACCAGGGTAGAAATCTCATCATAACATCACCGTCCCCAGAACTTACCAGGGTAGAAATCTTATCATAACATCACCGTCCCCAGAACTTACCAGGGTAGAAATCTCATCATAACATCACTGTCCCCAGAACTTACCAGGGTAGAAATCGTACCATAACATCACCGTCCCCAGAACTTACCAGGGTAGAAATCTCATCATAACATCACCGTCCCCAGAACTTACCAGGGTAGAAATCTTATCATAACATCACCGTCCCCAGAACTTACCAGGGTAGAAATCTCATCATAACATCACCGTCCCCAGAACTTACCAGGGTAGAAATCTCATCATAACATCACTGTCCCCAGAACTTACCAGGGTAGAAATCGTACCATAACATCACCGTCCCCAGAACTTACCAGCGTAGAAATACCATCATAACATCACTGTCCCCAGAACTTACCAGGGTAGAAATATTATAACATCACTGTCCCCAGAACTTACCAGGGTAGAAACACCATCATAACATCACTGTCCCCAGAACTTACCAGGGTAGAAATCTCATCATAACATCACCGTCCCCAGAACTTACCAGGGTAGAAATCTCATCATAACATCACCGTCCCCAGAACTTACCAGGGTAGAAATCTCATCATAACATCACCGTCCCCAGAACTTACCAGGGTAGAAATCTTATCATAACATCACCGTCCCCAGAACTTACCAGGGTAGAAATCTCATCATAACATCACTTTCCCCAGAACTTACGCAGGTAGAAATCTCATCATGACATCACCATCTCCAGTTGATGCAGCTCCTCCCACGCCATTGCGAGCGTACGCCCCTGCCCCCATGATTGGCGAGTCTCCCACTCTCCTACAACAATAAAACCAAGCTGCTATGTCCAGATCAATCATGATGATAGTTATAGGTAACAGAGGAAGAGGTTTTTAAATTTATTGATGCTATGTATTAGGGTTACATGGTTACATGTAATTAAGTACAGTTTGTACTATGTATTAGGGTTACATGTAATTAAGTACAGTTTGTACTATGTATTAGGGTTACATGTAATTAAGTACAGTTTGTACTATGTATTAGGGTTACATGGTTACATGTAATTAAGTACAGTTTGTACTATGTATTAGGGTTACAGGTAATTAAGTAGTTTGTACTAAGAATTAGGGTTACATGTAATTAAGTATAGTTTGTACTAAGTATTAGGGTTACATGTAATTAAGTACAGTTTGTACTATGTATTAGGGTTACATGTAATTAAGTAGTTTGTACTAAGTATAAGGGTTACATGTAATTAAGTACAGTTTGTGCTATGTATTAGGGTTACATGTAATTAAGCAAAGATGGTGCTATGTATTAGGTTTACATGTAATTAAGTAGTTTGTGCTATGTATTTGGGTTACATGTAATTAAGTAGTTTATACTATGTATTGGGGTTACATGTAATTAAGTACACTATGTACTATGTATTAGGGTTACATGTAATTAAGTACAGTTTGTACTTTGTATTAGGGTTACATGTAATTAAGTAGTTTGTACTATGTATTAGGGTTACATGTAATTAAGTAGTTTGTACTATGTATTAGGGTTACATGTAATTAAGTACACTATGTACTATGTATTAGGGTTACATGTAATTAAGTATAGTTTGTACTAAGTATTAGGGTTACATGTAATTAAGTACAGTTTGTAATATGTATTAGGGTTACATGTAATTAAGTAGTTTGTGCTATGTATTAGGGTTACATGTAATTAAGTACAGTTTGTAATATGTATTAGGGTTACATGTAATTAAGTACACTATGTACTATGTATTAGGGTTAAATGTAATTAAGTAGTTTGTACTATGTATTAGGGTTACATGTAATTAAGTACAGTTTGTACTATGTGTATGCTGTTTAACTTTAACATAATTGTGAATGTTCCCCCATCATAAAATTTTGAACACCAGGATTTGATGACTGTGTACTTCTGATCAAGGCCTCGAGCATTTTTACTTCAAACCAAACTTAACCCTTTAACAATTGTTATCAAAGTAAGTATTTACCCTGGTATTTTATGATTTAAGCCATTGGTGCTTGTTCCTGCAGCAACGTGTCCATCAGCATCAATAGCCACCATTCCTATAGTGTCATGATTTCTCCTCTCCACGTTGTATCTCTTACGAGAGTTGTCTCTCTTGATGTTACTTATGTCTTGCCTTAGTGGTCTGTATGGGCCACAGTTCTGTGTTGGGTCTGGTGTGACATTCTGAAGATAAAAAAACAATTACAGCTATAGAAATGTGAATTTAAATGAGTACTGTTAGTTAAAATGTGATGACATTTTGAAACATGTGCTCTATAAAAAAGTTTTCAAATACTAGTGCAGAACCGACCAGTATTAGCAAGTTATAAAATTCAAAAAGGTTATAAATCAAATGTATGACTGCTTGTTGATGATAAGAACAAGCACTTTACCAATATTCTTTAATAGTTGACGCCCTCTGTATAGCAAGAGTACAATAAAATACATCAAAGACAACTTTTATGCCAGCCAAATAAACTCTCTACCAGTCCTTTCACAAAAATGCTGATTTATGCAATAAAAAGAGGTTGAAATAAAAAGCAGCATATATAAATACATCTTATGAATTAACATCACACCAGTTTTTTAGTCTACAAACGGTCACACCAGTATTTTAATGTACAATCTGTCACACCAGTTTTTAAGTGTACTAACTGTCACACCAGCATTTCAATGTACAAACCAACCCACCTTTCTAAAGTTTGGCTGGCAATGATTATTTTTCCAGTCCTGATAGATTTTATCTGATCGAGGTGTAGAAAGATTTTCCTCTTTGAATCCCATTTCGACGGCAAACTTTGTAGCTAGATAACACAAGGAAACATATCACACACCAGATAAGTAATTCCAATATTTATACAATGGACCTCAAATCAGAATCCTAATCTATAATTCAATATATCAACATAATTTTAAACCAGACCTGAAATCAACTTATAATTAAATATCCCAAGAATCACATCTCAAACTACAAAATAAAAAACTTATACCTACATAACAAGGATAGCACTCCAGCAATATTTGAACTGTTAATAATCTATAATCTATCAAACATTTAAATTTGCTCTGACAACAACAGTCCAGTGTGATCCATCACTGCCCTGGCCATGCCCATAGCATCCTTTATAGATGTATACTTACCTAGCTCCCCCTGCCAACAGTGTATGTCCAGTGTGATCCATCACTGTACTGACCATGCCCATAGCATCCTTTATAGATGTATACTTACCTAGCTCCCCTACCAACAGTGTATGCCCAGTGTGATCCATCACTGCCCTTGCAACGCCAATAGCATCCTTTACACGACGTATACATCCCACAGCTCCAACATCCATCGTCTTCCTAGAGTATAAACAATTCAGATTTGAAGTGAAAATATGATGTATAACTTACATGCATGTACATACAAAGATTAACCCCTCAAGTAGTTACAAATCAATAGAATATAAAGATAATACAAAATTAGTGTTTGCCCCGAAAAATGAATAATAATGGCTGTTGCTATTTGGCTCTTCCCTTCCTAATCATACATTTTTCTATGCCAAGCCATCTAAGGAACTGAAATGCAAAAGGTGACTAAGATGAACATGCATTTTCTTCATTACTGACATGCATTGTAACATCTGATTATGTGAATGTATCTCTGCCAAAATAAACATCTTTGAATATAGATTGCTTTCAAAGATTTCAATTTCCATAATTTTTAATAGATATCAGAATAAGAAGTTGTTTTTATTGATATGGTCAACATCTTTTTGTTTTGTTCTTTTTTATGATAACATGTACATAAATGTCCATTTATATCTAATGATGAACAGTAAATTTTACCCATTCATAATCATCGCGTCCAGAGTGACCTCCCCTTCCTCGTCTGGATCCCCACCATAGCCAACAGTTCCATCACACCGTTGGGTTTGACACACTTGACAACCAGCCACCACAGCATCGACACTGCTGCCCTTCTGTGTGTACAGACGTGTCCATGCTGCTCGAGAACACAGAATACTGAACCAGTTAAAATGTCACCAAAATGCATTTTATTGCCACGCACCACAATCAATAAATATTAAGTCAAAACTTTGTTTCGTTAATAGGATGATATATATCATTTAAAACATGAATACAGTTAATCTATAGTATTTTATATGCCTTTTACATCATAAATATATTTCTTTATATCCCCAAACAGAGAATGTACACTGTGAAAAGTCTTCAAAATAGTCTTTGAAATACTGAAAGAAAGCACATTTGAAAATACTTGAAACAAGATTTTTATAATTTTGGAAACCTCTGCTAAAAACCGACACCTGGACCTGACACCTTGATTGTCGCTCCACTGAAAACATCTCATAGTTTTAAGAGAAATTTCAAACCTGTGATCAGATTCATATTAATATAAACTGCATCTTTTGAAATCAAAACGACTGTATTTATTGTTCTTTAACTGATTTGGCTCAATATCAGCACATTTTGTAATTGTGTAATGACGTTTTTGTTTTTTGTTTTTGTCTTGAACAAGGTTAAGTAATAAAAAAAACAAGGGTGATATGAGGATGGGTATCAGGAGGACCAGGGGAAAATCTACTTTGGTTATTTCGTTGCTAGGCCTATGGAAACAAAGCTACTTTCAGTTTGGTCTTTCCAATGTTTCGATCTTGTTAGAAGATACGAAGGAAATTCCTGGTGCTGCAGAGGGCACTTATAGTTGCCCCCTATAATGATACTCAAAGAAGCTTACACCTCCGATCTACAATTGGGTCCTAAGTGACTGTCTCTTATACGACACGCTTGGGATACATCAGACGTATCCCTTCCTCGGGACCGCTCCTGCACGAATTTGTACTCGTGCAAGTAAAACGATAGGACGATTCAGAGAGTCAACAAACATTGAACTACCTCCTATTGTGGCGTTGGTAAACGGCCATGTGTTGACAACGATAGGTACATCAGCAGACACGAGGAAAAATAAATTCACTGTGCATAACCCTAAATAAACAAACAATTTCATATTGGCTGCCATCTTTACATCATGTGACTAAATTGTGTACATGATAATATACAAAATGGATATAATCCGGATTATTGTGAAGAAATTATTTATTAAAAAAATATAACAGAGGGAACAGTGAAATTTTGACGTTCTTGTTAAAATACTAGGTTGACCTTTTTCCTTTCTGCCTGATTTTATTGGTGCATTTTTACCTGAGCAATCGAGATGCATATCCCAATTATTTTCACTATTTGTCACAACGATGATGAATCCCCTGTGCAGTTAGCACACTAGACAAGCAGAGGAATCATTTTTTCATACACTCTCCCATCTAATTTTGTAGAAACATTGTACATCGAATCACCGAACAACCCTTCCAGACAAATTTCGGCTATCTAGAGGCTCTGGAAATGGCTATTGATATCCATAGAGACCTCCTTATTGATCGGATCCGTGAACTTACACACAATAGTGTTCCTGATCTGGAACAATTGCGCTACAAACTTTACGAACTGGCCTGAGGCCAGAGATGATTTCTTCATCAAGAAGGGATATCCTTGGGAGAGGCTGGTCCACCCGCGATGTACTACACTGAACTTGCTAAAGACTGTTTCGCTCTGCTCCGTACTGTTATAGGAGAACATACAGAAAATTGACATGATAAAATTCAACGCACAAGGAAAGCATATGACCAAGTTATAAAATCACAACAGATGTCTGAAGAAGAAGGTGAAATGACCCTCACAGAATCCATTGTAAAGTGCTATTGCGGAACTGTTAGATCTTCAAACTGAACACACTAACTTCGTATCACAAATGGAGAATTTACGAAAAGTAATAACTGAAGTGCGTGCAGAAAAGAAAAGCAACAAGACAAAAACAAATATTACATAGATAAACTTTTTAAAAATGAGAAATGAAGAATATGCACCAGGACAATCAAGACAGATAAAGCTTACAAGCGAGCTTCAGAAAGTCTTCGATGAAAGATGTATATGTGGAAATCACTCACTGTAACATAATCAAATATTTGATGATGATCAACCGAACGGTTCTGAAAGTTTTAAAAAGAGACTGAAACATGTTATACAGACAACAGAGTAGTGTGAGGGCGACATTCATATGATGGATAACACCATGAAATCTTTACAAAAAGTACCGGACAAACAGATCTCTGACATAGAACGACAATTAAACAAAGACCTGAGCACTACACGAAAAAGTAATTATGTTCAGGAGATCAGGCCGAGATAAGAAACCGCTTTAACAAGTCCGCATTCTCCATCAGCCCAATCTTCCTCCTGGTATACTTCAGGGAAGAACCTACAACTCCATGGCAACTCACTGGGAAACGAAGAACCTTCAATGAAGACACATAATCTGCCCGGCGAGACATCCGCACCAGCGAAAAATTACTCCGCCATCCTCAAAGACTCTTCACAGGTAAACGACGTAACGCATACCACTGGCAGAATGTTATCTATACCTGTGCATTTCCCATCGTCTATGTGCAAATCTACTCCTCCGCCGTCGTCGTCTTCGGAACATCCAACACCAGATTTCGTCGAATTTTCCACTGCGGAGAAACAGAGGAGAATACTGAAATACTAAGTTTATGGTATAAAGAAGAAGCTTTCGTCGGAAAGTGGAATGCGCCAGTATCTCCGGGAGTCGAATGTTAATGTCACATTTCTTCGCTGCTTCGGAAGACGCCGGAAACGTAAGACTTCGACACAAGTATTAAGAATTTAGTTGATCGGACGACTATAACACCCTACAACATCCTTCTTTCTGGCCGACAGGCGTGTCCGTCCCTCCGTGGCTTCCCAACGTTTTCATCAACGAGCGTGAACAAAATGCGTAAAACCCTCATGATGATGTGCTGGAACACAGAGTGTGTAATGGCGGGTATGTCATACCCGCTAAAATGTCTGAAGGACCACAATATTGATATATGTAGCCTGCCATAACACTGGATAGGAGAATATAATCTGTCTTTATTTGAAACTTTCACTCATTGCGGCTATTCAAGTATAGTAAAGCTTGTTCCTGAGTTAGACTTACTCAGCTATAAATGTGCTTTCACAGGTAGTGTGTGTATTTTATACAAGTCTAAACGTGCAAGAGCTCGTTACAGATACATGTAGTCCTCGAATTGTTGGTGCAGAAATTCAAGAATCGGATAGTAACTACAATTTTGTATTTTCCGCGTACATGCCAGCATCATCTAGGCACCAAGATGTATTTATAGAAACCTTAGATATATTAGAATCACGTGTTACCGTGTACTCGGAGAAAGGAAAGGTCGTCATCATTGGTGATATAAATAAGCAAATTAGCGGTCCTAGTAATACTTTCTTGTAAGCGAAAGACCAACCTTGTTTGAGATGTTTAATGAGAAATGATTTAGTCTCTGTCAATGTCCAAACTGATTATAAAGGTTCTGAATACACATTTTGTCCTGTCACTGGTAACTGTACAATGATTGACCATATTAATGGCTATAAGTCATGCAAGAAAGTTTTAGAAGAAAACTTTGAAATGTTTTTAACGAATATATGAGACGTCAGTTTGAAGAAACTGATCCAGAAAGAGTTGTAAAGGTATGGGATAATCATTTAAGTATTTTTTTTTGTAATGACCTAACGAACTGTTCGATGAAGACTTTTTAGTAGGATTCAAGGACAAGTATTGGTCCGAACGGTCTTGTGTGTGAACGTATTAAATAATGTTACAATTTAATAGCTAGACATATTACTTACTTGTTCAATCTGATTGTTAAGTATGAATATGCTCAAAAAGGCTTGGAAACTTGGCACGATAATTACTCTGTATAAAAGTAATCGTAAGCCAAAAGACGACCCAAATAGGTTTAGGGGTATCACACTAATTTCTGTGTTTTTAAAGATTTTTGAGACACTCGTCCCACCTAAGCCATGTACATTCCCAAACAGACATCAATCAGCATATCGCAAAGGAACCGTTCAGCTTATGTACTTCTTAATCTACAAGAAAGTGTCATCCATAACCTAGAGAATGGATCTGATGTGTGTGTTGTTTTTCTACATAGTGATAAAGCTTCCAGCTCTGTATAGCAAGAAGGTCTATTTTACTAACTGTACAATACGGGTATTAAAGGGGAAATATAGAATATTATAAAACAACGGTATTATCGATAAATCAGTGATGATGTGCTTCATGGTTTGAAGTCAGAAAAGGTGATTATGAGACGAGGAACCTTACAAGGTAGATCTTTATCCGCGTGTCTGTATGTAGTCTTTATTAATGACTTACAGATTAAGTCGAATTCAGCGGGAAATGGTCAGCAGTTCCATCCTCGCGTGTAAAAACCCACGCATGACATTTGTCTTGTCACAATAATGTTAATAGTTCACAGTATCTACTCTCTATTTATACAGTTAGAAATGGAAATTTATATTTTCCCCACTAAATCTAAAATGGTTGTTTTCATTATAAAAAAAGAAACTCAATGTTCATTGTGATGTCATTTTATATAGAAAACAAGTACCAATTAAAGAAAATATATTTCATGATCATAAGCTATCATGTCTCTGCTGTGGTTATATGTACAAAGATGTTCACACACACAAATATTAAGTGATCAGCTGTGATGTGTACTTAGCGCGGTAAAAGATATATTTTATCTTAATCACCGCAATGTTTAATTATCGTTTACTTCGTGTTCTTCTTGGTGGAATAGATATGAACTGGAGATTTTAGAATTAACTTAATTATCAGTATTACTAAAATCCGACAACACAGTTGCAATTTAGTCATACATAGCATTGTCTATGATAGTTTTGTGACTTTTTACACCGCGTTTTCGCGTTTTTATGTTGATACATAAATCATTGCATGTCAAGCGAAAGAATATCTGTATTATATCGTTATGTGTCTAATGTTGTGAAATGAATATTTAACTCTTGACATGAGACGAATACGCAAATGATGTGCTAATGTGTTATTGAAGGGTGATTTATATATAATTGTTTATCGCTAAACAAATTGTTGTGTGTATGTGTGCGTTTGTCCGCGCATATCTGTGTGTATGTCTCTTTATAAGTTACTTTCTTTCAATATTGTTCGAATTTGTGTTATATATTCCTCTGTTTCTGTAACTCTTCATCATTGTGGGAAATTAATGAAATCATCTAAGCGAAACTGCACTTTTTCTCCTTTCTGCAGAACAAATTTCTTATTTTTATGCTACGATGAATAGAGAATAAAGATGAAACGACTTTTCATTTTTGTTATTTTCACTCGATCGCCAAGCTGGGACAACAGAGGGACAGGTGATCTACACCCTGCAGTAAGTGAAATTACCCTTTATGTTCACACTTTATCTCTCTATCAATCTAACTATTTGGTTAGACTGAATGTCCAAGCCTCAGCAGTGGTTGGCCGTATGTTGTGATAATGATAAACTGCTTGGCCAGTATCTGGTGATCAGAGAGAATTTGATACCACTAATTGTTTATAAAAAAACTTCGCTCTTCCTACATTGATATTAACGGTCATGCTGTTTCAAACTAATTAGTGTTTAAAGTCATATGAGTTGTTTCCCTTACATCATATATCATAATAGTACAGAGGAAGGCGGAGGGACTGTTGAATGTTGATCGTTTACATTGTGGTGTGTTCATTGCATCACGTGTGTGTACGTGCGTGGGTGGGCGGTGGGGACTTTTTTTACACATAGTAAAGTTGGGTTTTTTTTATGTAAAATGGGTAATGTATAAAGTATCTATTTCAGTCACATTCAAAGATCTGCGAATCATTCAAATCGATTGAAAACAAAAGTGGGGAGAGACTTGAGACTTTCTCCCGTTTTACTGACGTGTGAACCATTGCTGAATTTTGCACATGTTTAAGTATTTACATGAAAATCAATTATGAAATTAAATGTTTTCTTCCATATCCCCATCTGAATAATACACTTTTTAAAAATCAATAAAAGAACAGAATGGCTTTTTACTTTTAAAAAATATGTAAATATTATACATTGTAGAATAGTCTCTAAAGTAAGTCGATTCTTCTTGAGAATTTGTTTAATCTAGAATTAAATAAAGCTGTAAATAAATACAAGAGACTGTTGTAGCCACTCGATCGTTACCGAGACTTTTCGGTCACCTTTGTTATTGTATGTTGGTTTTACTTTTCCGGTGGTCCATGCCTTAGGCACACAGCCAATTCCTCGTCTTCTTTATCTGAGTTAAGGTGTTTTCTTCTAACATCCGTATAGCTCTTATCCATTGGTATGTGAACACACGGATTTAGACATATCTAAGTTATCATTATGTGGTTATCAATAGATTTATCTAATAAATTAAAGATATCCTATTTGTTTCCCTTAGATAAGATTTCATGTTTGTTTTTCAATGTTAATTCTGTAGGTGTTGTTATTATTTTAACAGATTTGTTTTCCTCGAGAAATATTATTTCGATATTTTTTTATTTTTATGCTTTCATATCGATGTTTTGCATCACAGGAGCCACGCCTCAGTTTCTGTGACAATCAGCTGTAAAACCTAGGGTTATAAGCAGAGACATGTAATCTGTTTATATTTAAGACCCTGGGTGTATGTTGTGAGGAATTTAAACCCGTAACATAAACATAACATCTCATTAAGTACATCTTATAAGATGTCTAAAAAACCATCCCTTACTCCATGAATAAATTATAACATGCCATACGTATCGTTATAGTGCATCTCACTCCTAAAAATTGCTAACCATTAAAATCACCATATAAAATGTCCTGCTGGTCTCGGCGAAATCATACCAGAGACAGATAAATGCAGGAACTGTTAACCATTAAAATCACCATATAAAATGTCCTTCTGGTCTCTGCGAATTTATACCAGAGACAGATAAATGCAGGAACTGTTAACCATTAAAATCACCATATAAAATGTCCTCCTGGTCTCGGCGAAATCATACCAGCGACAGATAAATGCAGGAACTGTTAACCATTAAAATCACCATATAAAATGTCCTTCTGGTCTCGGCGAAATCATACCAGAGACAGATAAATGCAGGATTTCAGATTCAGATTCTTTATTAGCCAGGAGCCTTACGGCTCATAGGCACAAATGTAATACATTTACATATAAATATATAATAATATATAATACATGCATGTAGCTCACGCTCACACACACCACCTCACACACCATCCCTCACACACACGCTGACATATCGGGAGAGCTGAACACATAACATACATATATAAATAGCTGTATACATGATCTTTTTCTTTTCTTTTTTTCTTTTTTTTTCTTTCTTTTATTCACCAAAAGTCTTAAGACTTATAGGTACAGACTAAACATGATATATTGTACATGTATATGTTATAGGAGAGTGACTATAAGCATACAATACAGCATAATACAGAAGCACAAAAGTTATAAATACATGTAGCTGTAATTAATTAATTACGTCGCTTAGTGGCTAGATACAAATATTTACCTAGATTTGACAACTCTTTGACGTTATTTACAGATAATAGTTGGACAAGTTTGTAAACAGAGGGACTCTTATGATAATACTTCTTTATATATTTTAACCTTAAATCAATATAAAAAGGGCATACAAAAATGAAATGAAAATCGTCCTCGACGTCTCCCAAATTACACTTGCTACAGTTCCTATTTCTGCGAATGATATTATTGTGTCTACCCATTTCAATATTCAATTTATGAGACGACGTTCTAAATTTAGTTATCATACATTTGTATTTAGATTCAATAGATTTACGGAGATAAAACTGAATACAATGACTGTCTATAAGGTATTGATATAGTCTACCTTTTGAAGAAGCTGCTATCTTTGCCAACATATTTTGCTTAGTAACATCTTTCAGTCTCTGTTCAATAATTTTAAAAGAGTTAACAAATGGTAGATTCGATTCAAAAATATAACCAAGACCTAGGGCAGTTAACTCATTCTTAATATTACAAATCCACGGATCATTCTTGTTGACACATTCAACATAACAAGTTTTTAATATCAAATTATCCGATTTCGTCAACTTCAACCAATACTTGAATACTTTTAACTTTCTTGTAACAATTAATGGTAATCTACCCAATTCACAATAAACTAAATCATTGGATGTAGATTTACAGACTTTAAGAACTTTTTTGCAGAAATTCAAATGGACTCTCTCTACATCAGGAGCTTTGTGAAACCCCCATATTTCTGCACCATAGCTTAAGATGCTGCTGATATAAGTATCAAAGACAGAGCACTGGGTTTCCAGATTCAAACAATGGTTCTTTAAAGAGGCTGATATTGAAAATAAGGCCTTTCTTCCTTGGTCTGCTAAATGCTTTTGGGTTTTATAAAATTTACCATTGTAATTAAAAAACATTCCCAAATATTTGAAATAGTCAACAATTTCTATGCTCTCATTATTATATTTCCACACTTCATTATTTCTTATATTTCCCCCGTTTCTAAAAACCATGACTTTCGTTTTATCAACGTTGACTTCCAGATCCCATTTTCTAGAGTAACTTTGTAAAGAATCTAACATGTTTTGTAATGCATCAGGACTATCAGCAAAAAAAACCATATCATCAGCATACATTAGCAAGAAAAGGTTAAGCATCTGTAATTCAATACTTGGACAATTATTATTAGTAAAGTTAATTTCAAAATCATTCACATACAAAGAAAACAACACAGGTGACAATATTTCCCCTTGTAAGAGACCGGTATAATTAGGGAAACAATGGCTTAATTGACCCTCAAATTTTACACAGGATTTGACATTTTCATACAAAGATGATAATATCTTTAAAAATTTTCCACGAATACCTTGGTGTATTAATTTACTCCACAGTTTCCCTCTATTAACAAAATCAAATGCTTTTTTAAAATCAATCAAGCAACAGTAAAGTCTCTCTTTTTTACGCAATTTTTTGTTAATTAAAGTTTGTAAAACAAATATGGCGTCAATGGTTGAACTGCCTTTTCTAAACCCAAACTGAGCATCTGTTATACAATTTTCTTTTTCCCATGTCATAATTCTATTATTCAAGATTGATGTAAATAATTTACCAAAACAGCTTACAAGTAATATACCACGATAATTATTAGTGTCGTTAATACAGCCTTTCTTAAAAACAGGAACAATACATGCTTGTGACCATGATTTAGGGCAGATCTAAACTGAACTGTTAACCATTAAAATCACCATATAAAATGTCCTTCTGGTCTCGGCGAAATCATACCAGAGACAGATAAATGCTGGAACTGTAGACAAGGCCTAGTGGAGGTTTATTTAGCGTTAGTTGTTGTGTTTGTTCTCTGAGTCGTGATATCATAGAAGGGTGTCTTCCCACTCAGACAACATATCCTATTTTAGTATAGGGCACAGGTAATGTTGTTACAGGTGGAGAACAATAGGTACTAATTACAGGTACTGTTTTGGAAAATAGCCGTTTCTCAGGTAAAAACTTACCTGTAGCATTATTCTAGTCTTATATTTTAGAGCTATTATTATATTAGTGTGAATCTTTGTGGGTCACTCAAGATAAATATTTTTGTGAATCTCAATGAAAATATTGACAGTTAATTATAATTTATCATTTTTACAAATACAAAAGTTGTCGATGATTCAGCTAATCTTTGGAGGTTGTTGTCTGTCCCAAACACTATGATTCTCTCTCCTATGGCGTTGGTATCATCACACAGAAGGAAGCGGCTCCCGGATGATGTCTCCTTCCATCTTCCTTGTAGATCTATATCTCCCTGCGTTGCTGGAAGCTTAGGCATGACCTTCGACCGGCTTCGGTATAAGGAGGATTTACAACTGTTGAAAGTTGGAATCTTCTGAATCATATCCTCAACATCAGCATCAAAATCCTTGTCGTAAAGATTTCCAAGTTCCTCATCAAACACAGAGGGCATTGGCTCAGTCTGCTCACGGCATCTCTTCTTCACGTTGTTTAGGAAGACAAAAGCAGCAAGACCAATGGTATCTCCAGGATGGTTATGATTGTTCGTAAAATTCACAGGGATGTTGTTCACAGTTGTCAATGTCGCTGAACATTGGCGATCAACAAATCTCCAATAACATTTATCATTTCGCCTTGTCCTCACTGAACACTTGAATCCGTCTTGAACTAAGTAGTATCTACCCCTACCATTTTAAAGGAAGTCTACGCTAATCTGTGTATTTGCCATGGCATAAAGATGGCTAGTTGTTTACAGTATAAAAGTCAAACAGTTTATAACTCTACCAGAAAAAAATGATATGAAAAAAAACATTGGTACAAATTTCATAATTACATGTATATTACCTATTCACAGTTAGAGTAAACAATAATTGATTGTTTTTATATTGACAACAAAAATGTTTTTAAAACTGGAATCAATGTTTTGATAAACTGTTCTGTTTGCATTAGTAAACTATACCTAGTTGTTTATAAAAGTATTTAATTTGGTTGAAACAACACATTGAGATGCCAATATAAAATGATATAATTAATTAAACTTTCATGAATATATAGTTTGAACTTTGTCTCTATAATGACAAATATGTAAATGTATTTAAAAGAAATTATTTCTTCTTCCTCATCTTTACTACTTTTTAAAAATATTTTTCATATATATGTTTTTTTTTATTATTATTTCATTCTGAGTTGAACAGGTAATTTGATTCGCTCATAAATACTGAAATAGACTAAAGCCAACTTTGTCCATGTAATTTTTTAAGATGTTGGCTGAGTGAGAATGAATCAGTATAATAGAAGCCCCCTTCTTCTTGGAAAAAAAATGTTCACAGTTGTTATCTAATGTTATTTACCTGTGCCCCGTTTGTTCAATACAGATCCTATCCCCAGTGAAACGTGTTCGATTCAATCTTTAAAGTGTACCCCGATAGAAATTAGAAATAAATAATATTATTATTTATAACCCGAAAAACCCAAAAGGTCGAAAACCGCATAAAAGTCAGTCGCCCCAATACCGAGATATTGACATGCAAAGTATACGATTTTCACCTGTCTTTCTACTAAATGCTACCCTGTGACGTCACAAGTTCAACACCTGGTAGCAGCCGACATAGCAGGAATAAACGAGATAGAAAACAAGCATGCGATGCAACGTCAGATTGCAAATGAATATCTTACAGTTTTGAGGAATAAGGTGATTCTGACGATAACGCCATTGTTGACGGTATCCAGCCACATGAAATTTGCGAGAATTTTAGACAGTGATCGATTTAATCAGATGACGTTCAAGATATTACAATTTTACACCTTCTCCCACTAACAAATTACACGGAAAACAGTTATTGTCATAGAAATATGCATATACATTTATCAACAATAATTCTTTCCATTAAAATCAAAACTTATTGCTAGACTTAATGAAGTTTCTCAGCACTGATGAGAAATTTGTCGTATTTTTTGCCAGAATTTCTTTATTTCAAAGTTACCGTGGTAACGCTACAGCCTCCAAAGATACAGAAACATATCGGTGAAAAAGATTTACTAAATAACTTCTACGTTGGTGTCTTGCTATTTTTGATCAACGATAAGATATATGACGTAATCTATATAGATCTATATCGTAATGGCAAATTGACGACATTGTGCATTCCTTATGTTAGGTCGGCGTTATCAAAATAGTTCATTTTATTTGCAATACTTATGTATGAAATGCCAGATTATATCACGGACACAGATAAAATATTTCCGTAATCATAGTTTTCTCGAAAATATAAATAATCGGGTTTTTTTTTTTTTTCTCTCAAAATACATGTACCGGTATATTACACAAGTTGATATACCATCTAGGTTCCTTAATGAAATCATCCCGGTCTTCTCTCTTGGGTGTAAAATTGTGTACAGGTAAAAACAACACTAAACAATTCTGCGCCAAGTGCGGCTGTTACGGCAAGAGGCGCAATATACACATTTATACTTAAGTCAAAGTATGAGATCAAAGGAATGACAGCTGGTGGGTAAGGGGTAACCTGATTTTGAAGTCAGTTTGTAAATTGTTGTAGAGTATGCGTCTTCCAATTTTCCATTTCTCGACAATGTCCTTAGTCATCGGGAAAAGTATCCGTAACGACCAAGATGAAGAAAAATGTGTACGCCGGGTCAGGCGATTCAGTGATCTTAGAGACGTATATACGTCTCTGGTGATCTTCGTGAGACTTGAACGGGCAGTTCTCTTGCTACAATATTCTTAAAATAGATTTTTCATTTATAACATTGTTACATATTAAATCACGTGTATTTCTGCGCATTGGTTTGTTATTGACAACAACAAACGAAAAATTATGTAGGTTCAAATGACGATATTGATCTCTGTTAGTACAGTATTATGTTCAAACGCGCGTGTGACGTTTGTTAGTAAAATAATCTCCACGAAAAAAGAGCTGATACTGACACCGTAAACCAAAAAAGCTCTCATAAAGGTATGTGCATGTTAATGATGAGTTTGATACTAGTAAACGTCTATTTAAATAGAAGTAAAATAGAATAAGGTTTAGTGCTGAGATATATGTGGGTTCTGCTTGTGAATGTACAATATCAAGACTTGACAGTCGAAGAAATTTTGAAACCGGATTTACAACATTTTTTTTTTTGTTCATGTGTTGCTATTAAATTCATATTAAGATACACACACACACACACACACACACACACACACACACATCTTGTAATAGGAATTATTCTAAATACTATACTGTTTGTTATTGTTTTCAGAATAATAGTGAAGTCAATATAAAAAAAAAGAACCTTGACCAAGAAGAACCACTTCCTTTCCTATCATTGTAGGAATAGCTGTTTACAACTTGGAAGTGTCGATTGTTTTAGCATGGATTAACAAGGAGTGTTCGTAGGTTGATTATAATGCTAGTATATACACTTCCTGGAAGATTCAACGGAATATTGTTGGAGTAGGAAATTCAAGGTAGAATGTTTATTTTATTCCTGTTATCACAGACTTTGATAGATATTTCTATCATTTAATTTTTGATAATAATTGTTACGGTTGTAAAATACTCACCATTGGCTCATGATTTGGCTAGGAAGAAGAGAAAACAGACATTGCATGTACATGATGATAAAAGTTTAACCAAGTCAATGTCAAGAGCTCACTTAAGAAACTTCAGGTAGCACTTCCACAGAATGAAGATTATCCAAGTGATGTGTGTGAGCAGACAGGGAGAGAAAAATGTTTAGTTGTTATATTTGAATGAACTAATAGCAGATTTAACAGAGGAGCCAAGTATGGCACTAGATGCTAAGTGCCAACAATTAATAGTTTATGGGAGGAAGCTTTCTTTTGAAACTGTGGTTTGACTTGAAAGAGTTTGTAATGAAAGGTTCAGTATTTGCTATTTTACAGTATTGGAAATACATCAATTAAATTAATAATTCATTTGCAAGCTATTAAATGTTTAGGTGATGATCTTGATAAATTGCCTTCCATTGTCAGTTATATTAACTCACTTTGGCAACATAACAGTTACCACTTCATAAGAATAGCCTTCAGTTATCAGTTACCGGTATATCTAACTTCAACATTAGGGTATATCTAACTTATTGCTAAAACCTGGTTCAACATTATAACCTAGTGTGAAAGTGTTTTGAAATAAAACATCTTTAGTATCATTGTGAAACATTATGAAAACATCAAAATAGTAGGTATTTGACCAATGAAAGTAACTTTTATGATTATCTCCTCTAAAATTAAAAAATAGAGCAAAATTTTCAATGACCACTAGTACTTCAATGGCAAAAATATTTGTTATAAAATATTTAATATATATAATTTAATATAAATAAAAAGATATGAGATGGGGATAGTTTTCCAGCTTTAACTTTTTGTTTTACTTTGAAACAAAATTATTTATTAGTATATCAGTTCTTAGTGTTGTATTGCCTATGTAGACATACCATCACTACATATTTTTTTTGTTTTTTTGTTAATTTCTCTTTTTTGTAATTTCTCTTTGTTCTGGTTATTGGGGAAATATTCAATAATTTGTTAAAAATAACAAAAAGAAAATCAAATTTACTGCTTTTCACATGTCTTTCTATATTTGAATTTACAACTCATGTCTATTGTCAAAATGTTTACACTACACTTTAATTTTTTTATTTTTATTTTTGCATGTGACAGGAAATCCCTAGTTTTGTTTTATGAAAGAATCAGAAGATCTATTTGAACTTAACTAATATCCCTTAATGATATTGACACAAAGTTGTTTTATTTAATATATGTATGGCTGATATTTAAGTCTGTTCTTTAATGAAATGTTTATTGAAAATTATACATTCTATGACTTCTTATTTTTTAATGATAGAATCCTAATTTCTTATGTTTAAGATAATTGCTAAATGTGTGTACTGTTTAAACTTAATAGTACAAGTTTGTTTACTAAACATTCTTATTTCTGATAGATGGTTTGGTCTGATTTTATACAAAGGTACTGATGTATTTTGAATTGAAGCTTATTAGTAAACAGGAAACATTTGCAAAATGAAGACACTGATGGTGTTATTGTTGAACCCCTGAGGAACACAAAACATTGCTGGTAATAATAATAAGAAAAAAAAATCAACACTTAATGTAGAACAGTTCGCATGGTCTGCTTACAGCACTTCATAAAAATACCCACAATGGAAATCCAATACATTAGTTTGAACTGTAAAAGCACATTTAAATGCAAACATGCAGTTGGTGATGGAAAACATCCTTGACTTGTTGAAGAATGGAAGAAACCATTGTTGAAAGTCAAAGGCAGTTGTGACAACTCATGTTGGGGAGGCAAAGATGTGTCCAAATTTTTATCAGAGATAATCGAAGAACCATCTAAGGCCCATGTGTGGAGAGTCCATGGCAGAGGGCTCAATGCACATGCATCTAACAAAATCAATCCTGTTGATGGAAGGAAATGTCTCCAGCTGTATTTTTTCCTTCAAAAATCAAAATTCAAAGCAACACCAGTTATGAAAGTAAAAGTGTAATCATGTTTATGATATAAAATTAAAAAAAAGAAGGTTATATTTTTCATAGT